TCCTGATTATGCGATTTGAGACCAGTTAAGTGATGTGTCAGACAGTGGAAAAGACTGCTAAACTTTCGGTGAAACAAGGTTCCAGTGAGAGGAGGAGTCAGGGCAACTTCGTGGGCTTTAGCCATGCAACCCCACAAAGCCGCACATTTAGAAGCCTTTCCCCATCTGTGGTAGTCACCTAATCTGGTGTCAATGTAATGATTAAGAGTGTACGGGTGGAGTCTAGGCTGTCAATCTGGAGATAGCCAATGAGACTTCTGTGGGCATGGCCTTCTCCTGAGATTTCTGGGAAATTTGTTACTTCCCCCTTGGAGGCCGAAGACACCTCTCTCTCTCTCTGCTTCTCCCTGGGAGACATTGCAGAAGACAAGCCACATGGATGCCACCAGACCTAGGAAGCCGGAGAAACCACAAAGAGACCCCTGCCAGCACTGAGGTGCTTACAATACCACTGGGCGCAAAGACTTTCTACCCACTGGCTTGTGAGCTTCCTGCATTTGGCTTCATTGCATGTGTTTTGTGAGTGTGTTATAGATTGGTATCAGACATATGGGGTAATATCAGACTTACGGCCTTGGCCTGGACTGGGTTGAGATATTTCCTCCACATTCAATTGCTCTTGTATATAAACCTCTTTCTTATACACATAGGTGTGCCAATGGATTTGTTTCTCTAGTCTACCCAGACCAACACATCATCCCACTTTACTATTTGACCTTACCAAGCTTGAAATTCTTCTGAATTTTGAAAGCATGGGTCCTATATTTCCCATTTATGTTGTAGTTAGCTGACATCAAGTCAATTCCACCTCGTGGCAGCACTACGTATGTAGACTAGCACTGCTTCACAGAGTTGTTCAGGATGTGATCTTTTACATGCAGATCACTGGACCCATCGCCTGAGATGACTCTGGGTGGGTTCCATCAATTATCCTGTTTAGTTAGTAATGAAATATTCAGCTATATGGACCAACCCAGAACTCTAGTTGGTACCAGGCCCTGTAAATTGTACAGAGGACCACTTCGAGTGCTGCTCTGTGTTTCTTATAGTTGGTGAGTGTGGCGATTGCAACCTAACTGTAAAAGGAAGAAAATGATGTGAGGGTAGTGTTTGATCTCTGGTATCCCAAGAAGGAAGGAAAATCAGACTCAACATCAGCATCAACCAATGCTGATTTCTCTGAGCCTGTGGATGCTTCCACCCTCCTCGTAATCCTCCCAAGGCACTCTGCTTCTCAGCATGTTTCAGCAATTCGTTGTAAGAGTCACATAGTGCTCACCGAAGATGCTCATAACCATGGGGTTAATTAGGTTCAGGTTCAGATGATAAATGCTCAGCATACAGTTGTTCAGCCAGGACAATTTCTTCTCTGCCATGCCCACAAGACCTCTCTCTGGTCCTCATTTTCTTGGCCTTGCCTCTTCCCTCCTTGGGCAATGTTAAGTAATTCTTTAAGGAAGCCAGTAAATTCCCAGAGGGCATATCACTCTGATATAAGTTTCAACTTGGAGACATTGAGCTCCAACTCCAAAGGTCAGCAAAACAGCTTCCCCAATTGAGTGCCCAGAAGTACCTCATTCCACAAGTCAGCTTGCTTCCCCAAAGATTCCCTGCTCAGTGGATCGCATACTGTGGCTCTGTGTTCCATTGCTGCTGCGTCACTGCTGCTTTTGCTCTGCTGCACCCCGGATGCTAAAGCTCTCTCCTGAATCACCAGGTGGAATGCACGGGGATCTTGGGACACACATGTCACTCTCCAGGCCTGGATCTTCCTCTCCTGTTGGTAAGGAGATTCCCCCCACCTCAACCTTCCTGCTTCTGAGATGGCTGGTTTTATACCCAGTCGGATAGCAATCATACTTTTTCCTGTTGGCAGTCACTTTTGGTAAATCATATCATCCAAACAGTATGCTTTCCCCTGCCAATTTACTCTCTCCCATCCAGAACATGGCAAACACTTGGTGGAAAAAAGAAAGGCTATGATGGCTTAAAGAGCCACATTAATTAATACACTGCACTGTAATTCACACTTGATGATAGAACTTATGACAACTCCGTCAGAGGTGAGGGGGCTGCACTTGGGTCAGGTGTATCTCAAAGTTTGCCAAGTCATCAAACATCCAGGTAGAAATGTAACTGTAGAATGTGACAAAAAGTTGTATGTTCAGAGTATTATCTATGAAGCATATTACATCTGCTTTCTGACAAAAGTAGATTATAAATTGATATTAGCTTCATATTTCCTCTTTGATAATGGAATAAAGAACACCAAGACTGATTAATGTAATCTGTTTCTACTTATCTTAGTCTAATTAAAGTGATGAGACTGTAATTCAATTCACTCCCATTACAGTCACTGGGTATTTGAAGCAACTGCAAGCACATGCTAAACCTATAGATTGTGTAATTTGTGTCTGGCTTTAATGAAATCTATTATTGGTAAACAGTGGTGAAACCATTTGGGTGCTAAGTAGATAAGGAAGAATGGTTCCTTTATTTTTTTTTTTTTTGGTAAGAGAACTTGCATATCATCAAACTATGGCTAAGGAAGGAATAGTCATCAGAATGTGTGTTAATGTATTCTGAGAAGTTAAAATGCCTCATATATACTCAGAAATAATTTCTCTTACTTTTGGCCCAGCATGAAAGTTCTATCTACAACAGGCAGAGGCTGAACAAGACCTACACATAGCAGTGCTGGGAGCTACCCACATACCAGCTAAAAGAGTCCACGTGGGGTGTGGAGTCAGGCAGCGGGAAAGCGCCATAGGAAACGATGTCTGCCTAGAAACGGATCATGAGATGAAGGGTTGCTACCAAGTCCATTGATATTCAGAATTGATGAATCTAGGAAAGGGCAGGATTTGGAAATGGTTAAAAAAAATTGCCCAATGTAACCACTATAGATTGCACACATAGCCACCCTATGGGACAGAATCCGTGATGAATTGGAGTGTTTCTGAGACTGTAAATCTTTACAGATCAGAAATGTTTATGGGTTTGAACTTTTCCCTTAGGAGCCAAATGCCTAACTCACTGCACCATCAGGTGTCCTTGCAGATGACACTAGACTGAAAGTATCCAGGACATTCATCATCATTGGTTGTGGTGGCCAAGGGTGGGCACAGATTAGCAATGATTGAATTACTGTATAAAAGCAATGCTTAATCTGGAAGCAATAGTGTCCATACACCATGTATGTGCCTCTAAACAATTATAATGAAGGAATTTCAATATTTAAAATTACCCTTGACTATGAAAATAACTCTAAACCTTGATAAAAGAAATGTGTCACTTTCAAAGTAAGGTTTACTGTCAGATGCAGTCATTATGTGTTCATAATTGTGTAAAGAAAAAGCTAATTTGTGGTGGAAGTGTTTCATAAAGAGTTCTGTAAGGAAACAGAACTGGTAAGAGATAGAAACATAAGAGATAGATAATATATAGACAGACAGATTTTAAGGGATTGGCTCATACAATTATAGGGATGTAGCAAGTATAACATATGTAAATCAATAACCCTTTCAAGAATAACTAGTTTATATACTAGGGTTCTAGAGTTCATAAGACTGAGGGCGATTTGGCAAAACATCTCCTTAGAGTCTGCAGGTATAAAACGTACTGTTGCGTATAATGTCTTCAGCTGGTTAGCTGAGGTTCACCCACATTGAACTCGTGGCCGTCTAGCGGATTCCGAGTCATGGTGTTCCTATGGGACGGAATAGAACTGCTCATGTGCTCAAACGGTAAACTTTATGTGGGTAGAAAGCCTCATCTTGGCTGGTGGAGGGGCTCCTCGCTTTGAACTGGGAGCCTTGTTAACAGCCCAACCTTTAACCCCCTCCGCCACCAGGGTGCCTTCCCACTCATCTTATGAATGTTCATTTGGTTTCCTTGGTGCCAGTAGATGCCATAGTAACAGCAACTAGACTGGGATTTGACCAGGACACCTGAACCACCGATCACCAAGAGATAGACAAAAATGTATCTTTAAAAGTGTTTCTTTTGGTTCCTCTATGCTTTTTGTTAAAAATAGAAAAAGAATAAAGATAAGGTTCTTATTTCTGTATTCCAAATAGGCAGTCCATAGTATGTGTTGCATAGGTAATGTAATACACTTGTCAACTTTATATATGGTTGAGTTGAATGTATAAACTTTGGGGAGAATGTCCTTAATATGTCTGGTTCCATCATTGGCTTTGTAACTTTGCCTTGATGTTTCTTATTCTCAGAGAAGCTCTGAACAGCAGTTTGTCGGGGTGACCCTTTCAGGATTAACCAGTTTGCATACTAGGGTTCTAGAATTAATAAGCAAATTGTGGCCTCAGACTTCTCTGGCAAACAAAAAGACCCTGAGGTGACCTTCCTCACTACACTTGCTCTTGACATTGCAACAACAAAGCAAGGGCCAAAAGACTTCTGAACCTCGCCTATCAGAGCTAAAAATCAGATAATGACTTTTGTAATTATGTCATTAATAACAATCAGGAAACTTTAATCATCAATGCTATCAGTAAATTATTCACACTAGGAATAAAATAATAAAGATTGCTATAGTAGTCATTTGAATTGTCTACCAATATGTTCACTTTTCACCTCTATGTTTATTTGATATTTTGAGAAGCATTGATAAGGTCAGTCTAGCAAAACTATATTAGAATCTTAAGTGTGGAGAAAGACAGGGCTTTCTACTCCGTTAGCAGGGGCAGTCTCAGAAACTCACAGGGGCAGTTCTACTGTCCTATCGAGTCTCCATGAGGCAGCATTGACCCAATAACAGTGAGTCAGGCTTCCTCAAAACCTTATAAACATATGACCTTGCCTATAGTTTCCTTTGAGGAAAGAGACTCTGCTGAAGAAACTCTCTTTCTCAAGATCACTGAGCAGATTATTTAACACCTATTTATTTGATTTGAAAATTTCTACAGATTGCTCTTCTACACATGCTATGATTGTTTTTTTGTTTTAAAATACTCCTTTATTTGTTGAATTTTTTTCAGGTTTTTTCTTATACTGCCGACAAAGAAATCCGAACCGATGACTTATGCTTGGATGTTTCTAGACTCAATGGACCTGTAATTATGTTAAAATGCCACCACATGAGAGGAAATCAATTATGGGAATATGATGCGGAGGTATAGTATTTTTCTTTATTAAAGTATTATGACTTTTAAGCTCAGTTACATATTTCAAGTATCTTTCTACATTGCCCAAACTGTATTTTCAAACCTACACATGTCTGAAAATATTAGGATTCTCTATCATTTTTTTTCAAATTGTTCATTAGTATACCATATAAACTAGGAAAATAAATTCATCTTTATGAGCTTAAAGTTTACTATAGTCATTTACCCACTCAATGCAAATTGGGCAGGCGGCAAGCTAAGCTTACCTGAGATGTATGTATGAAGATTTACATGCAAGACAATATTGGTAATCTGTTCATATTTTCAAATATTAACTTTAGACTGTTAGAATGTCTGAGGTTTAAGCTTCCTAACATAAAGGCAGAAAATGGGGAAGACAACAAGATAGGCATGACGTCTCTTTACCATAAGAAATAATTTGTAGATTTCAAAAACAAATTAGGTGCATAATATTATGAGTAGTCTCTTCTCGAAATTATCTACTTTCTGATAGAGGAGAAGATGAAGAGACAGTGACACCGTGATTGTTGACATTTTTATAGTCAGGCCGTGTGTAAAAGCCAGTTCAGCCATCAGATGGAGCTAATAAAAAAGAAATCTTTCCCACTCCAGCAGGAAGTGGCCTTGAAACAGTTTCAGTTCTTTCGGTTCTCTTTTCTTTGCAAAACAAATTGGTCGCCTGTGTTACAATGCCCACATTATTATTAACTGGTTGGTGATTCGTTTGAAAAAGCAAACAACATTATCCCTACGGGATCACAGACGGACCCAGGTGAAGCAGCCTCATAGAGGCAGTGTTCTATTCCAGCCTGCAAGAACACTCTCTTGAAGGCTGCCAAAGAGATTTTGGATATAGTATTAATCTATTTTAGATATATTGTGTATATTTCAGCAAAGCTTTCGAAAGTGTTCTGGATGGCATTTTCGTGTCATGCTGTAATTTCTGAAGTGGAATATCAGAAAATCTTACGGTGCTACAGGTTTTGAAGCTGGTTAATGTCAGTGTGCTGAAACTGGGGATAACGTTTATGTCTCCGGGCTCTTTGGACACATGGTCATCTTTTCCTGGGACATGACTAACACCTGCTCCCATGCAGCTGGCACTGACACACAGCAACCCTGTGGACAGGATGGAACCACCCCATGTGGTTTCCAGGCCGAGATGGTCACAGTGGCAGCCGGCCTTATCTTTCTCCTGCGGAGCAGCTGGTGGATTTGAACCATTGGCCTTTCCGTTAGCAGCTGAGTATTTTAACTCCTGTGCCAGGAGGACTTCTCAGAATTAAGAACAAACACCCTGAAACCTTTCTATGTTGCACCAGCCAGTTCTGCCCTCGCTTATCTGCCTTCTCAATGTCTTATGCACCTTATTTGACTAACTACTTTTTTTTTTTCTGTGCAACTCTTGATTTGCTATCACTATCCTGCCAAATAGACCTGTAGAAGGTATTTTAAAGTAGAAATTCCTTTAGGTGATTTGTTTTAAATGTCGCAGTTGTTTGTCATAGTTATCTAGTGCTGCTATAACAGAAACCCACAAGTGGATAGCCTGAACAAACAACTTTATGCTTTCCATTAAGGAGCATGGCTCTCTTCCGGTTTCAGCTGTAGGGGTAAGCTTTCTCTCAGGGAAAGTTCCTGTGGCCTTTGCATAACTGTGGTCCATTCTCCCCGGGAGAGTGTCCTGTGTCTGGGCGCCATTCTTCCTCTGGGTCTTCTCACTGCAGGGGCCCTAGGTCCGGAGGCTGAGCTCCACTCCCCGTTCTTCATTCTTTTGGTACTGATTGCCCTCCTTCACTATTTGTTTAATCTCTCTTATATTTGGGGGGGGAGGGGTTTGTGTGTTTTTATGAAAAACCAAAGCTTTGAGGCATTTTATTACAAAAAGTCAGATTCATATGTAAACTAATAGGTACTTCAAAATTCATCATACATTAACTTCATTTTTTAGCTTGGCCTTCTAGTAAATAAATCTTCAGCTTCGTTGATTTTGGCTGCTATGTACGGAGATTCCCCCCTTATCTGGGTGATTTAAGAGCATAATTCGTTGATGAGCATCTCTTATTTTTCCTTTATTGGCAGTAAGACTTACACCCAGAATTAATGCTGCCTCCCATTTTGTCATTTGGGGTTCAAATCCACCTCAGTAAGAGCCACCACTGGAGGCAGATTTTGGTAGACTTTGAAAAACTTTGTTTTACTTGAGGCTCCACATGCTTCATGGCTTGCAAAACATAACAGCCTACAAATCCTGTAGGTGGTGGTCAGTCCAACTGCCACCACAGTGCTGGCCATGGCTCCATGTCGGCTGTGCTGCCCCCACTCATACCAGCCCAGGGGCCATGGCCGCCTGCCCCGCGTCTCTCTTATATTTTAAAATACATTGAGTAAGATATAATTGAATACTGTAGATTGTATCTTGTCTCATTAAAATAACTGCCTCTAACCCTGCCCCATTAATATCATAAAGGTAAAACTTTATAACACATGCGATAATTACAGTAGATCACAACATGGAAGATAATAAATATTACTGGGGATCATACCCTAGCCAATTGACAAATATTGTAAGGAGACACAATTCAATCAATAGCAATTGTTATTACTATTTAGCTTCAATCAGGAGCTCATGGCTTTACTGAGATCATACTAAAATAAGAAATTTATTGTGCATCATAAAGAAAGGGAGCAAATGTATATTTTTAAAATAAGATGAAATAGTATTGACTTTCTGAATACAGTTGACCCTTGAGCAACATGAGTTTGGAATACTCAGGTCGACTTACAGGCAGACATTTTAAAACAACTCGTGAGGGAAATCGTCTCTACATGAGTTAGTTAGTATTGCTAAGGAAGTCCATCTTACAGTAAGAAGTGATGTCTTAGGGTTCCTGCCTAGTTCTCATTGTGTTTGTATACTACAATAAACTTTAAATAGCGCCATGAGACCCATCCAGTGTTCCACTAGTGCTGCACGAAATGTTCCCAAGAAGCAGAGAACTCTCATGGAATTGCAAACAAAAGGTGAATCGCTTGATATGTACTGTATATTGACGTCTGAAGCTTCAAATGCCTGCCGTTTCAAGATAAATGAATTCAATGCAAACCATTACAAAAATAATAAGAAAGTGTAAGGACCATGATTTAAAAGAAGAAGAAGAAATGTGTGAAGCTATTACTGTCGCTATGCCAGCAGATGCAAAACCTTGTGTTTTTTGCAATACATCTTTCTCTGAGGAATTGAAAGTGCCGCTTTTATATAATACAGTATATAATACATATAACATACAACATATGTGCTAATTTACTGCTAATGTTATCTCTAAGGTTTCTAGTCAATAGTAGAGTATTAGGAATTAAGTTTGGGGGGGATACACGTGATTTGTGTATCTTTGACATTGTGAATGTCCCCTATTGTTTAAGGGTCAACTGTACTACTTTTAAACTTTGCTGTAACTCAGAAATGGACACTGTCTTCTATAGTCCAAACTTGTATTACTTTATTTATAAAATGATGATCATTCTTGGTTTTCAGGTATCTTTATAATTTCTATTTTCTGTTAACCAGTAATTGATCCCAATAGATTATAATGGAAAGGTGGAAAATTGGATTTGCTTCAGATTTTTTATTCAATGATATATATATAAGTTTACTATTTTGGAAGATTGTAATTATTTGTTGCAGTATTTTTGGAGAATCATAACTTTTATGTCATGTGACTTTACTTTCTAGAACACAATATGCATGTACCACAAATTCTGAAAAATACTTACTTTGATAGCAAACATATAGCAAAACTGGATTTACATGTCTATATGTTTATGTTTTAATATCTAAAAGTTGTGTTGTTCAACTTGTTCAATGACAACATTTAGCCAAATTTTAAGATGTGTAAATCATGACATGGAGAAATCATGAGTTTAAATTGTAGGATGAATATATTACCTTTGTGAAAATTTGAGTTTTGAAATAAAAGTCTCATTTTTGAGGTGGTCATAAAGCCCAAAATGATTCTCAGAAAGATAATTGAAGATAATATTTACTTTTTATGATTTTTCTTTCAAGTTTTAAAGTTAGAATTCTTTTAAACTATAGAAGAATAGTCTAGGCCCTTGCAATTCAACAGATACTTGTGGTAGCATTAACTGAGACTTCATTAGAAATGTAGATTCTGTGACAATTTCACAGACACACTAAATCATAATCCATATTGAAAATGAAATCTCTGGTTATTCATATGCACATTAAAGTTTGAGGGACAGTCTAGACAGTGGTCAAACATTTACTTATCTTTATTAATCTTTCTGTACACTGTTCAAAAAATCTTGCAAAGTCAGGAAAATGTGTCAATGCATTTGGAAAAGAATAAGGCTTCCCAGGGCAAGTGGATATGAGTCGCAGTTGCTTAAATGGGAAAGAGAAGTAGGAGCTTATTTTCTCTTCAGAAGGAGAATTAGGCAAGGGCTGTACACTGCTTCTTTAATGCAAATATTTATCTTTTACTAGAAAGGGAAAATTACGATTCTTTGAGAAATTTCCGAAAAAAATCTCATTTCTGTGTTTCAGAGATCTTCACCAAGTCCACCATAGCAAAGATCCTGGAATCACAGAATTGAAATTTAGCTTCAAGTTCTCTCTGGACAGCCTTTATCAGGAAAGTAAACTCCAGAGATTACACCAGCAGTAGCCAAGCCAGAATTTGTTCCTAATAAAGTATTCAAAAAAGCTTATTATCAGTGTAATTTTGAATCTCACAGTTTGAACAGCAGAAACACTCCATCTCCCACAGTCCTTGCAATCTTAGAAAGGCAATCAGAAATAGATGCAGATTGTTGGAATATCAGAAATAAATGGACAGGGTGTTCATTACTAACCTCTCTAATTGCTTTGGATTTTGCTTACTTCTTAAGTGAGTGGGTGGAAAGGGAAGAGAATCAAGTTTATTGGGAATTTATATTGTTCCATTTATATCCGCTTTCTCACAGGAGTTGTATAAAGTAGATAGTTTAATGATCTCTACTTTGGAAATTAAGATTAACCACCTTAGAATGACTGAATAACTTGTCTGAGATTGTATTGAAACTCTGGGTGGTACAAACAGGTAAGCACTTGACGTCTCCCTAAAGGGTTAGTGGTTCAAACTCACCCAGCGGCACCTCAGAAAACAGGCCTGGTGATCTGCTTCTGAAAAGTCACAGCTTCAAAAACCCTGCGAAGCCCTGTGACTCTGCACACATGGGGTCTCCGTGCGCCAACTTCAACCACAAGTCACCACACCAACACAGTTGCATGCTCCAAGTATCTGCTGCTAAATACGGAAATTCTGTTCTAGTACTTGAATTTCCTTGTCAATATGATTGAACAATACAAACAATTCGGTATTTTCCATGGGTCTCCTCTAAATGGTAAAATGTATAGTACTACGAAGGAAATGAATAAATAAATATTACTGATTATTTGTGGTACTAAATTGTATTCACATAGAATTTCTCTTGACCTCATGAGAACGATGCTCTATAACAAATATATTTTTACTTAGATAAATAGGTTTGAAGGAAAACTAATTACTGGTTATTATCTATGTTCTTACAAACAAATTATTATTAAATAATATATAATTGTTATTATATATTAAAAAGTGATTACCATCCAATTCTTTGTTTTAAATTTTATTAAACTAAGTACATACAAGTAATAAATGCATGTCTTCAGTTGACTTCAATTTGAAATATAAAACCTCACCATTTTAATTAAGTATTTTTTAAATATTAGGTTGTTGTCAGTTATGGGTTTAATTTACACTTTGGCAGTAGGAACAGAAACTTAACTTGGGGTCACTTTGTGCCATTCCTAACCTGTTCAAAGCTGATACAATTTGAATATCAGAAGCAAAACCGAAGCATATCCACCTCACTTAGAAACTTCTGAATAAATTACCCAGACATTTTGGTGCTTTGAAATTTCATGCAGTTAAAGCAACCCAGGAAAATATTTAAAAACCTACATTCTACCTCACTGCTACAATGAAATTATTTTTATGAATGTCTGCCATCCTTCCATTGTATTTTATTCAAGTTTTCTTTTATTCTGTGCAAATATCACAATTGCATTCCAAGCCATCTGATAAGTATAATTTCTTGCAATAAGTGCACTTAATCACATTTCTTTTGAGCCTCCAGGCAGTGACATACAGTATAAGGTTCTTTTTTTAGAACAGGCACTTTTGCTCAGTAAACACGATGCAACAAAGAAAAAAAAGGAGAATGTGATGCTAAAAATACGTCCTGCTTTTAAGGAGATGGAGAAACTTGACTAAGGAGTTATTTGTTATGCATATAATATCTATATCAGTTTTTCACATACCCACATGATTTAAAATTTTTCCTGTAAAATATATGGGATTTATATTTAGTGCATATACTTATATTTAGGCTTATTTTAACAACTGCTTCCTTTTTATTTACCTTTATCAGAAAGCAGGAAAGTGGGAATATAATTTCCAGGTAAGTAATCTATAACAAGTAGCCCAGCCTATTTCCCTATGTAGTGTTATTAAAAATATTCACTTAATGAAAGTTGTGTATATCAGTCTGACATTACCTTTTGAGAGTCCTACCGACCGATAGCTGTGATTTCTAATGTAGACAATTAGTGCATAGAAATATGAGTAGTTTAGTGTTGTATTTTAAGTTCCTGGGATTACGCATTTAGATTTTATATTTAGAAGATGAGGGGTACCCCCCTAAAACCAGAGTTGCACTGGGCAGAGCAAAGTTTTCATAGTATGCATATGTATTTCACTAGCAAGCATCCAGCAATGCGCTCTGAGTTAGTGCATCCAGCAGCATCACCTGGGAAGGTTCTCTCTGGTCACAGTGAATTTTTTTTGTAAAAGCAGTTTCACTTGAACCTCATTTTTTGTGATGGTCGATTAAAGAGAACTGCGTGTGGCTTTGAAATTTTCTTTTCTGTTCAGGAAAAGTGCTGCAGTATCTTGTGAAGTTGGACACAGCTTACAAGGACAGTGCTATGGGAAAATCTCAGGAGTATGGGTGGTTTTCTTATTTCAGAAAGGTTGCATGTTGACTGCTGACAAACCTCATCCTCAGACAAACATCCAACAACCTCCCAAACAGATGAAAATATTGACTCGTAGTGCATTTGGAGTATGTTCCACCTAGTCAGACTGTTATTCAAGCTCTCTATTTAGATGTTCAGAGAAGATAATGTAATAGTGTGTGACAAAAAAGGCCAGATTAGGGCAGACAGGGACTGGTTTTGCCACCACGACAATTTACCTGCTCATGCAGCCATCTCCGTGCGTCAGTTTTTTTGGGGGAAAAACAGTATGCCTCTCTTGCCCCACGCACAGTACTCACGTGACCTCGCTTGGTGCAACTTCTTTTTGTCTCTGAATCCAGAGGGACATGGAAGGACAGCGATTTGGAAAGAAAAACGAGGGAGGTGCTGTCAGCCTTCCAAACAGATGAGTTTGAAAAATCTCTCCAAGAATGGAAGAGCAGACTTGACAAAGTGTAATGGAGAGTACTTTGAAAGTGATAAAGTTACTTTGTAAAAAAAATTGTAATATCTATTTTTGAAAAAGAATTCTATTTTGGGGGGTACCCCCTCATACTCATTTTTTTATTAAAGTGAGTGCACAGATTTGCTTATCAGGTAATTATAATTAATATTTTAAATTAAAATGTTTGATTATTAAAATAATTGTTATTCTATACTTATTCAATACAGAACATCTGATTGCCTCACTTTTAATTAAGTCTATACTAGTCTAACATTATTCCTACTTTAGCTACAATTATATATATTAATATAATCAACTAAGTATTATTTTAGACTTAACTTGCCATCTTTTAAATTGAGACCTCTATGATCTTCCCATAAATGGATTGTGTAACTAGCTCTAATTATTCATTAAAATATTAAAGTTTTTAAGGTAGTACCTTTTAGTACAATAAATGGCCTAATTTTACAATATTAAGATTATTGTTTTGCCACAAAAATTGTATCCTGGCATGAAATCCCAATTCACTTTCAGCAGGCATTCTTCAAAAGTATAAATTTAGAGATATTCCACAGCACATTTATTCTTAGCAATATAAACAGATCTCTAAAGGCTGGAAAACATAATTTTTCTTACGAGTCTTAAAACACTATGTTTAAATTTGGACATTCCAATGAATAGTAATGCTTTACACTTCAGACAAGACCTATTAGGCAATGGTATATTTTAAACCCACCACTGTCTATCATTTGGTTTTGTAGTGACAGCGTATACATTGCTTTGATGCTGGCTGGCATGTTTGCGTATTTGAAACATTAACAGCATCTCCCATAGGTAAGATAGGTTTCGGTGGAGCTTTCAGACTATGACAGACTAAAAAGGAGGCAGATGCAATTCAGTTTTGGAAAATGAACCGTGGACAGCTTTATGAACAACAGTGACACATTGTCTGATACAGTACCAGAAGATCAACTGTCAGGTTGTAATCAAACATTGAGTCAAGGAATTACTGATGATTGGATTGCAAAAGTTGGAAACAAGGAGACTTAGTAGCTGGAAAATACAGCTTTGGTGGTAGAAAGGATACAGAAGAGTGTCTGAAAGAATCTTGCAAGAGAATGATAAGTTCATCAACATACACTTTTCAACAACATCAACGGTCATGATACATGTGGACCTCACCATTTGGAATGCACAGGGATCAAATCTGCATTTGCGAAAGGAGAAGGAGACGCTCAATAGCATCACAAGAGGAATACTGTCGGAGAATGAAAAAGACATCATCTGAACAGTGCCAGGGTTCAATTGAAGGACAGATGAGCGACTGCTGATGATAAAGACATTTTTTAAAACCCAAGAGAGTCAAAGTGCAGCCTTGAGTTGTTTGTAAAATTAGAAACCATCTCAAGGACCTATTTAACACATAATGACTGAAAACAGATGTGCTGTGGAATGATATCACGTACTTCATACAGGAAGAAAGCAAAAATTATTTTAAAAGATAGGTATAGAGAGAACAAAACCGTTGCCTGAAGAGAATGTGAACCTTGTTCTTAAATGTAGAGTAATTAAAGTGAACGAAATGTAGTGAAAATGGATGAAATGATGAAAAAAAGGAGCTGAACAAAAGATTTCAATTGAGAAGCCAATGTAGAATGTAATCATGAAATTTGCAAAGAACTGGAATAAGAAAATAAAAGGGAAGAACATACTTTACATTTTGTGATTTTTAAAGTATGCGGTATTCTCTTGGTCTATGCACAGGTTCAACAAGAGCACAATTAAGTGTTCTGGAATGTATATTTTTGCAATGTCGTCAATAGTTTGTTATGATCCAGTCAAAGGTCTTTGTATTGTCAATAAAAAGCAAGTAAATATCTTTCAGGTTTTCTCTGCTTTAAGTAAGCTCCACTCTCTCTGACGTAATTACACCATGATATCCCTAGTTCCATATTCTCTTCAAAACCTGGTTTGAATTTCTTGCAGCTCACTGCAGTTGCTGCCATTTTTTAATTATCTTCAACAAAATGTTACTTTTATGTGATATGGATGCTGTTATTTGATTATTTCTACATTCTATTGGCTCGCCTCTCTTTGGAATTGGCATAAATATGTATCTCTTCCAGGGAGTTAGCCAGGTAGCTGTCTTCTATAGTTTTGGGCATAGGCTGGTGAGCACTTCCAGTGCTGCATTAGCTTTTTTCCCTGCAAACATTCCAGTGCACCCTAGACTTCTTCCATTAGTGCCATGGGCTCTTGATCATATGCTACCTCCCCAAATAGGTATGCTGATCAACTAAGATGAGAAACGGGATTGTCTGAAGAAGAATGTAACATCAGCGTCGGAGGGAGATTCACTAACAGCCCGACATAGGCAAATGGCAGGACCTTGCCTACTGAAGACAAAGCACATGCGAATCACTTGCTGATGAAAATCAAAAATTTCAACCTTCAATATGGACTACTGCTCAACACAAAAAAGACACCATTTTCATAACTGGACCAATAAGCAATATCATGATAAATTGAGGAAAGATAAGGGTTTAATTTGATTTGGATCCAAATTCAATACCCAGTCCAGGAAGCAATTGATGTGTAGCAATGGTTAAATCTGCCACAAAAGAACTCTTTAAAGTGTTAAAAATCATAGATGTCACTTTGAGGACTTTGGTGCACCTGTCCAAACCTATGAGATTTTCTCAATCTCCTCACCTTACAAAAGCTGGTCAATAAATAAAGAAGACCAAAGGAAAGTAGTCCATTTGAATTATGGGGCCAGCAGAGAATGCTAAATATACCCTGGACTGCCAGAGGAGTGAGCCCCTCTGACTTAGAAAAAGTGCACTTGAAGTAAAACTCTCTCACTTCGTGCCGTTGAGTCAATACTGACTCATAGCAACCCCCTGTGGGTTTCCAAGACTATCACTTTTTATGGAAGTAGAAAGCCCAGTGGAGCTGCTTGTGGTTTTGAATTGCTGACCATGTGGAACACAGCCCAATGAATAACCAATACACCACCAGGGCTTCATTCCTAGAAGCCAGGAGCATAATATTTTCTCACATCATTTGGATATGTTATTAGAATGAACCAATCCCTTAAGAGGGCCATTAAGCTTGAGAAAGTAGGATCAGCTGAAAAGAGGAATGGCCTCAATGAGATCACCTGACCCCGTGATGTGACAATGACAGTGACCGTGAGGGTGATGCAGGAACTGGCAGTGCTTTGTTGTAGTGTACGCTGGAACACATGACTCCAGACTGACTATACCTTACAACAACAAATGTTATATAGAAGACCTACTAATAACTTGGGGGTGACATTACCTTTTTTTCTAATCAATATTTTCAATAAACCAAAGAAGACAGTATATATTAAGCTGCATTTTACTCTAGATGCCAAAATTGAGTTAACATAAAAATATCCTAGAGGTGTGAAAGCATTTATAGCAATTATAACAAGGGACTACCATGTTTATAAAGAGCATTTTAAGGAGAAATAAAAGTTCACCTGATTGATTAATTGTATATAAAACAGATAACCAATCAAAAGAAGGAAGCAAAAATTAATGTTTTGGCTAATAATCTTTAACTAAAATAATTTCATGTTGTTTTATTTCTTTATCCTACCAAGAGAGCAAAAATGTAATGGAAACAAATAGTACCTTTGAGGATGTAGTAAAACCAAACAATGTCCTAGCATATAGTAAACATGAGAAATATTAGTTGCTACTGTATTACTAGAAAATTATTATAGGTATACTTTATAAAAGTATGCTTTGCTAATCTGCAGTAAATGTCAAGACATTTGACCAAGTAATTCTCAGAATCACAGCTAGAGAAACAACCGGAGATTTAGAGGAAGAGGGTCAAGATGTTTATTAGGACATGCTCTATATTTGTTCTAACTGGAAAAAGTTAAATGAATTTTGGAAAAACTATTTCATGAAACTTGTAACTTCTTAGAAATATGTTTTTAGA